TCTCAACTCCTACACATAATAACCTTCCTTAATTACCATTTCATACTCTAAACCCTTTCAAGGGTCAACTCAAGTCAAGTCAAAGTCCATGTCAACACCCTGGTCAAAATCAACTTTTGGTCAAAGTCAACATCTGGTTGACTCAACTCGCCGAGTTGGTCCACCAACTCATCGAGTTCCATAATCCACTAACATCCTGGACTTCGCTCCTACTCATCGAGTCTTTCAAGAACTCGTCGAGTTCTTCTTTATACGGAAACGGGACCTTTAGTCAATGACTCGTCGAGTTCGTCCTTGAACTCGTCGAGTCATTCTTCGTGCAAGTTGGAACGTAAGTCCTTGACTCGTCGAGTTCTTCTTCATGTTCATTGGGGCATTGCCTTGAACTCGGCGAGTTTATCCTTGAACTCGTCGAGTTCTTCGATCTTCAAGCCATTATTCCAGTCCATCTTGTTGAGTCCTCTTCTATACTCAACCAGATCGATCAGAAACATAAAAGGTTGGGGAACCATAACCCGACTCGCCGAGTCCTATGAGCGACTCGCCGAGTCCCCCAATGTCCAAGTCTACCAAGTGGATTTCAGCCGGGTTTAATGCATCCAAAACATATATCTGACCTACTAGGGTCCATATTACACGTAAAGCTACAAACTTTACGTGCATGCAAGGTATCATGAGCCAAAAACACCATTTCCAAGTCTAAAATGAAGTCTAGGCTTAAGGGAAGGGCTAAAGCATGATAATTTCATAAACTTTATGGCTATAGGGGCCGAAAGGGATCTGGATCTGAAGTTACAACTTCAGATCACACTTCATACTAAAAAAGCTTCACAAATTTGCTTAAAGATGGCCCTAAACTCAAATATGGAGAGATCTAGCAATAGGAAAGTCAAGGAAGCAACTTTATACCTTTAAGGGGATGGAAATGTAGCTTGAACCTTGGATCTACTGCTTCCTTGAACCTTCTAGCTCCTTATTATTCTTCCTATAGCTTTTGAAATCACACAAACACTCTCACAAATGGCTTACACACTCAACAAAACTCAAGGGACACAAGTTAGGGCGTTATGGACTAAGGGAGATGATGGGGGCTGCATGGGAGGCGAGTTAATGTGTTTAAATAGGGTGAAAACCCTAAAATTTAGGGTTTCACCCAGATAGGTCAACTCGTCGAGTCGGGGCTTCCGACTCAGCGAGTAGGCTCTTTCATCCGCGTCCAAAATCCGTCCCTACTCGACGAGTTGAGCCTCCAACTCGTCGAGTCCCAGTATAAAATGCAAATATTCTTTATTTAAGATACATACCAAGAATCGGGCGTTACAGTGTCGATTACATGAAAATGACAAAAGTTAATTTTATTATGTTTAACTATTAAATCGAAAATAATACGGTGAATTTCTTTGAAATAGATTGTCTTTTAGAAAGGCAAAATGCACCGCTTAACAACATAATTCAAATTTTTCTTTATTTATGTTGATTGAATAAACAAAAGTTGAAACACATCATCATTAATAAATGAAAATAATTTTGTCAAATGCTATTCTCTAATGCATTATGTCACATGTTATTTTGTCATAATTTTGAGATATTTAATTTCCACTTGTCATTTATTTTAGACAAAATTTCATAATTGGTCTATGTGGTTTGCAAAATATCTAACTCTGAGGACTTTCAAGGAAAACGTCACGCCACTGGTCCCTGTGGTTTGCAAAATTATATGAAAGGTCCTCATGTCGTTAAATCTAACTGTTCAGCTGTTAGATTTTAATGAAAAAGCTATTTTACCCTTGTACCAAATTTGCAATACACTACAAACCTTAAGGACCATTTTTGTAATTTTGTAAATTTTGAAATTTTGTATATATATAAATTATAAATATAAATTTTGTATATATATAAATTATAAATATAAATTTTATATATATGTATATATATAATTTCAACAATTTGATAACTTTTTTTTTAATCTTTTGGACATTTTGTCTTCTATTTTTATTTTATAATTTTAGTTATTTATGGTTTTTTTTAATGTTTTTATTTATTTTGATTCAAGTAAATATGTTTAGGTTCTATGGAAAACAAAAAAAACCCTAAAAATAATAAAATGCATAAAAAAAATACTTAGAGACCACAAATGTTTTATATTCTTAAAATTCGCAACTTTTTATATATTTTTGCTGAAAATTTTGTTTGAAAAAAAAATCGAATTTTCTAATTTTTTTCAACGAATTTATAAAAACCTGCGATTTTTTTATATATAAAGTCAAAAAAAAAGACTTGTGGTCTCTAAGTATTTTTTTTATGCATTTTTATGATTTTTAGGGTTTTTTTGTTTTCCATATAACCCTTCCCCAAATAAATAAACTTAAATACGATAAACGATGTCGAAAAACCGTTTTTTCTTTAATTTTTCTTATTTGTGAATTGAAGAGTTAATGTTCTTTTTTTAAATTTTATGTCGTTACGGTTCATGTTTTTTTTACTTGGATGCCCCATAGTTAATATCGTTAGCAACATTATGTTTGTATTTATCATTATTATTATTTCACATTTTGTTTTCTATTTTTTTTTTATATAACTTTAGTTATTTATTATTCTTCTATTGTTTTTATTTATTTTGATTCAAGTAATGAAAAATAGAAAAACAAAAAACAAAAACTCAAACACCAAAATTGTAATATACTCTAATATATTAATATATTTTACATTTTTCATCTTTTTTTGGTTTTTTTTTGTATTTTTTTAAAAAAATTTCCGTATTATTTTTTTAATTTTTTTCATATTATTTTTTAATTTTTTCCGATTTTAATTTTTTTTCATTGTTTCGTTTTATTTTTCATCAATTTGATAACCTTTTTTTTTTTACTTTTTCCAAAAAGCGTAAAATGTATGAATATATTAGAGTACATTACAATTTTGATGTTTAAGTTTTTTTGGTTTACTATTTTTTTTTTTATGATTTTAGTTATTTATGGTTTTTGTAACTAATACGAAAAAACCAAAAAAAGATGAAAAGTGTAAAGTATATTAATATATTAGACTATAATAGTGTTTTAGTGTTTGAGTATTTGTTTTATGTTTTTCCATTTTTCATTACTTGAATCAAAATAAATAAAAACAATAGAAGAATAATAACTAACTAAAAATTATTTTAAAAAAAATAGAAAAAAATGTGAAATAATGATAATGTAAAATGCAAACATAAAGTTGTTAATGATATTAACTATTGAGCATCCAAGTAAAAAAACATGAAACATAACGGCATAATTTTTTTAAAAAAATAATAAATAAATAACATTAACCCTTCAATTCACAAATAAGAAAATTTAAAGAAAAAACGGTTTCGACATGGTTTATCGAATTTAAGTTTAATTACTTGAATAAGAATAAATAAAAACATTAAAAACCATAAATAACTAAAACTATAAAATAAAAGTAGAAAACAAAATGTTAAAAAGATAAAAAAAAATTTATCAAATTATTGAAATTATATATATTCATATATATATAATTTATATTTATAATTTATATATATATACAAAAGTTATATTTATAACTTATATAAATACAATATTTCAAATTTAGAAAATTACACCAATGGTCCTTGAGGTTTGTAATATATTGCATTTTTGGTACAATGGTAAAATAGTATTTTTCGTTAAAATCTAACAGCTGAAAAGTTAGATTTAACGGCAGGAGGATCTTTCATGTAATTTTGCAAACCACAAGGACCAGTGGCGTAACGTTTTCCTTGAAAGTCCTCAAATTGGATATTTTGCAAACCACATACACAAATTATGAAATTTTGTCTTTTTTTTTTCAGCGTATCATTAATTTAGTTTCTATAAATTAAGCATACCATAATGATTATATTAATTACAATTTTAAATAAATTTACAGTTTAAACTTTCGTATTTAACATTTTGTTATAATTAAAACGTTTAGTACATGAGTCTAACAATTAAACACATAATTTTAATCTATTTTTTTGCATGTTTTTTTTCCTCATAATTTTTACTTATTTCAAATTTTAAATTCAAATAAACTTTCCGTTTAATCATTTGTATTTAACATTTTATTTTAATAAACTTGTATAGTATACGGGTTTAGGGGTGTTCGTTTGGATGGATCGGTTTGATCCGATCCAATCAAGTGAATCTAAATTGATTTCGGTTTTCAAAACATGGATCCGAACAGTCCAAACTAAATTCAAATCCGATTCGATCCGATCCAATTACAATCTGGTTGGATCGGTTTTTAAAATTCAGTTTTCAAAAACCGAAACATTTTAAAACGACATATAATTATAATATTACCCAACTTTACACAAGAAGCAAAAACAAATTATTTAGTTGTGATTTGAAATTTATAAACAACTAATAAGAAGATACATTATAGTTAAATATTTTATAGATATAAAACTTTTGAGAGAAAATGCGTATTAATGTTTTTTTTATCGGGTGAAACATTTTGAACCTATTTGAAAAAATAAATTACAAAATTAATAAAGAATTATAGATATATATTATAAATAGATAAATAATAAATTTTTATTCGGTTTTATTGGACTATTCGGTTCTTATTTTATAAACCAAAACCAATCTGAAATCCAAAATAATAATTCGGTTTTGTTGTAAACCAATCCAAAAATCCGAATATCCGAACCAAATAGTCCAATCCAAATTGTCCAATTGGATAATTCGGTTTTATCCGAATAGTGAACAACCATATACGAGTCTCACAACTAGTTGTTATTATAAGTCATATTGCCTATGATGACAGCCAACAAATAAATCTTGCTATTTTATGTTTTAACCTAAGTTGCACGGAAACGGATACGGCAATGGGAAATGGATACGGAACGGATACGGAAAACGGCAAAACTCAAAAATTCAAGATACGGATACGGCAATATAAAAATATGGAAAAACATATATATATTAAAAAATTCCAAAATATGTAAAGTTTAAACTCCAAAAATACTAAATATTTCAAAATAACTAATTATCAATAATCAGATCATTTTCAAAATCCGGTTCATCTAGTGAGAGATCTGCAACCTCCAAAAACCTGACATCTTCCATTAAATCAAAAGCATCTCCACCCACATCCCACATCTTTACATCATCTTTCAGAGTCCTTGACAAAAGTCGGAGATTATTGTGGATGTAAACCAAGTCTTGAGCACGACTTGTAGTCAACTTGTTCCTTTTAAGCGAGTGAATAAATGCATAAGTACTCCAATTACGCTCAGCACAAGAAGAAGAACTAGGTTTTCCAAGTAATCTAAAAGCCAAAGTCTGGAGAAAAGGAGTCTGAGCACCAAAGTTGACCCACCAATTCTTGGGTTCCATAGTAGCCATCTTTGAAATGCTTGTTAAATCTTCAAAAGGACCACTCTTCATTGAAAACATTGCATACTCATCAAGGACTCTGCCATACTCATCATCATTAGGAAACAACCTTCAAAAACATTTCATCCTTTCTTGTGAAAGTTCTCCATCCCTATGTGGAACACATCTTGTAAAATCCTCCATTAACCATGCATCACTATAATATCTACAACATCCAAAAATTAAAACATAAATATATAATAGAAATCAAGTGTATAATTTAAAATCTTATACCTTGGATGTAAAGAGTGAGCTAAACAATGTAAGGGAGTGTTATTCTTCGCCCATCGAGCCACTAAAATACGATGCACAACGTCATAAAAACAACTTATTTGAGATGTCGGACGTTTTTCTTTCTTGTAGATCTCAATCTTCACTTTCTCAATCATAGAATCCCACATCTCATACACCAAGTGTAAACATGGCTTGTCGGTGTCACAAGCTCTAATCATCTCATATATAGGTCCAGTGAAACTAAGAATATATGATACTTTGTCCCACCAATCATCATTCAAAATATATTCTTTCACAGCGTTTGCTTTCTCAGTGTCATCTAATCTATAAGAAGACCATTCTTCGCTTATGACCATAGCTTGAAGACCCCTTTTGATAAGTTTTAATCTCTTAAGCATCACAATGATGGAGGCAAAGCGAGTGTCAGCAACAGAAAGCAGCCTAAGAGGAGTAAACTTGGTGAAAATCGAGAGCCTCATGTTATGGTTCATGATTAAATTTTTTATTGCAAACACCTCTTCGTGAACTTCTTTTATCCAGCTGCACTGTTCATATGTTAGATCATTTGTTTCCACATTCCTTGGTGAACAAATGTTCTTCAAAGCAAGATTAAGTGTATGAACAACACATGGTGTCCAATAGATGTGAGGAAACTGACTCTCTATAATCTCTCCAGCCGCCTTACAATTTGCTGCATTGTCAGTAATGATTTGCACAATATTTTCATGACCAATTTCATTGATGACTTCTTTCATCAATTCAGCAATAAAAAATCTATCTTTCACTTCCCCAAAACAATTCACTGCCTTTAGAAACAAAGGACCATTACCTGAGGTAGCCATGAAATTGATTAGAGGTTTTCTTGTAGGATCACTCCAGCCATCACTCACAATAGTCACACCTTTTTTCTTTCCATGTAGACCTAAGTGGCTCCAATAGCTTGTGAACATTATCTTTTTCTTTTTGTAGTAATGTTGTTCTTAGCTTATTATAACCATGAGGTACATAACCATTAATTTTGTTGGTAGCAGCAAACTGAAAAGCCCTGACATAGTGTGGATTTCTTGCAAGATTAAAAGGTAAACCTCCAGTATAAAACATTCTAGTTATTTATTGATCCAATTGGTCCCTAATTTCAACACCAAAAGCTCTTTCAATAGGTGTTGAAATACCTTTTCTTTTCTTAAATCCAACACCAGCTTCACATGACAACTGAACTTCTTTCGCTTGTGACTCGGTTTTCTTCTTTTCATACGCATCTTCTAATTGGTTCATGTTAAGTTTGTCAGCCGTTGTTGCTTTCTTGCAAATAGAAATCCCAGTACCTATATTCAATTAAAACAACATGATTTTAAGAACACACACAATAACATTGACAATTGACATTCTCAATTCAATAACATGAAAAAAATAAGTTCATCATTGACATTATCAATTCATTTACATTAATCAAAACAAGAAAGTGAATCAAAACAAAAATCGCAACCTCTTATTTCTTTACAAATGTTCATGAATCAATTGTTCAATACAATAACATGAATCAAAAATCGCAACAAATACATCAATCAAAACAAAAAATTGCAGCCTCTTATTTCTTTACAAATGTTCATGAATCAATTGTTCAATACAATAACATGAATAAAAAATCGCAACAAATACATTAATCAAAACAAAAAATCGCAGCCTCTTATTTCTTTACAATTGTTCATGAATCAATAGTTCTATGCAATAACATGAATCGAAAATCGCAACAAACACATGAAACAAAACAAAATTTGCAGCCTCTTATTTCTTTTACAATTGTTCATGAATAAATACAATAAGTCAATAACAATATATCATGAATCAAAAATCTAAAATTACATAGACACACTCTAAATTGAATAGTAGATTACCTTTTATACCAAGCAAATGTGCTCTAACTCTAGAATATGATCCTTGTCGGGTTTCACTGCAAATGTTACACTTGAACTTCCAACATCCTCCTGCTCCAGCAAGTTTTTCGAGTTTTGTCACATAGTCTCACAATGGAGGTTGGTCTGTTGTTGTAGTTGATCCTTGTGTTTCTTGTTCTTGAGAACTAGAAGCCATAATAATCGATTTCTGAATTCGTGAGTGGTGAATTCTTTGTTGTTCTTGATCGTCGACAGCCAAGTGCGCAAACAGTAAACTCAAAACTGTAAACGATATTACGATAATAAACCAAATCGATTAAAAACTTAAGGATTTAGGGAGGCAGCGATCGTTAAGGGACTAATAGTTGTAGGGTAATCTCGTGTAGCCCATTAAACCTTTGTTTATCCTATTTAAGAAGCCCATGCAAAAAAAAAGGGAAACGCTGTGGAAACTTACCCAGATACGTTTCCTTAGTCGCTGATACGGTCAAGATACGTTTCCTGCCGTTTCCCAGCCGTTTCCGTTTCCTACAAGTATCAGATACGGGTACGGCTAGTTGAATGGCGTTTGCATGCATCATAGGTTTTAACCCTTGTAGAAATTTGGAGTTTTAATAGTCAATTAAATGGAAAAAATGCATTTTAAATTTTACAATAGTGAATAAAAATACAAATAAGGAAAATAAATTATATTTCATGAAACTTTTATTGAATCTAATCTCTTATATTTTTGGTAATATATGAATCTTTTAACATATCAAAGGGCTTTTGGCTTACAAGTGATTCTCTTAATTAAAAGGAATGAATTCAAGTCTCGTTGACATAAATGGTAGTAATTTAGGAATAGATCAGTTTAAAAAAAAAATTGAATCTCTTAACATTAAGCATCAAATCTTAATTCAATATAGAAGTATAGAGCTTGAATGATAGGTAAATCGGAAAGAAATATTATAACCCAAATGCGTTGGCATAGAGGGCGTTCAATAGTCCACGGCCCAATATTTCAAGAGGCACGATAAAAAAAATTAGTAAATTGCAAAAATGGTCCTTGGTTTGATTTGATTTTTGTTAATGAAAAACATAAAATTTTTAACTTGTAAAGATAGTTTTTTTTTTTTTTTTTGGTTTGGTTTGGTTTGGTTTCTAATTTGAATATCGTTGCTTTTGTTTCGTTAAGTCATGCTCGAGTTACTGTTTTACCCTTTATTAAATATGTTGTGTTCATTTTTTTTTATTTAAGTGAATGTCATGTTGAGTTGTTGACCTTGTAGAACTAGAACCCACCTCCCTCTCCCCTTATTGCTTTCCTCGGGCAACCTATCCCCTCCCCCCAATTAACATATGTAGTCATTTTCACATTCATCTCTCAAATCCCAATTACAACCTTTGAAACAAATAATGAAACCATCTCAAAGTAGAAAAAATAAAAATAAAGGGAGGTTCATACCATTTAAACACCTTCACAATACCTAAATTATATATGTATTAATTTGTGATGTGGGTTTGTGGTTTTGTTTTTATGTTTAAGATATTATTTATACAAATAATTGGTAACATCAATGAATAATAATAAAAAATATAAAATTGGAGGGCAAAATGATCATTTTACCCGGCGTAATAGATTAAAGTCGTTTGGATGTTGATTTTAGGGACCAAACCTACAATGAAACCATGCCAAAATGATTGTTTTTAGTTAGAAGCTTTTTTTTGGAAAATTTGGTTTAGATATATAGATTTTTGGATTTATTTTTAACAAAACCGAATTATTATTTTGAATTTATGATTGATTTTGGTTTATAAAATAAGAACCGAGTAGCCAAAAAAGTCGAATAGCAATTTATTATTTATTTATTTCTAATATATATCTTTAATCATTTATAAATTTATAAATTATTTTTTTTATAAATTAGAAAGTTTCATCCAACATAATAATACATTAATATGTATTTCTTATTAATAGTTTTTTGTCTACAAAATACTAAACTACAATATATTTTTCTTTAGGGGTGTTCAAAATATCCGAAAACCGAACCTAAAAACATAAAAACCTTACCGATTTTCAGGTTAACCAAATCGGTATATTTGAATTTTCCGGTTTGGTTAACCGCACCGGTAAAATCTTCGGTTTTTCAGTTCGGTTACAGTTCATGCTTTATGCTATAAACGGTTAACCGAAAAACCGAAATTTTATTTTCTATTTTTTAAAATATTGTTTATGTTTACTCGTTTAAGTTAATATCAAATTATTTCTTAGAAATTTTTAGTTACAATTAATAATCTTCATATTATTTACATCTTCCATTTTAAACTAAGAATTGTCATCGTTAACATTTGTTATAAATATACATATGTTGATATAGATTAAAATTGTCATTTGCATTTCATCATCATTTCACATAAATAACTAAATATTTGACTATATTTTATCTATTAATTAAAAAAATACGTTTTTGTACTAGTCAATATTATTTTCCATATTCCATAGATATTTGATAATTTATCTTAATTTCATTAGTAAAAGAAGCAACAATATAATTAAACAAATTATATGGATTATTCATTGTCATTCATTCTTTTTTGGGAAATTTGTTATGGTATTCAATAATCTTAACATATTTTTATTAATTAGTAATGGTTAATTGGTTTACCGGATAATTGAACCAAAAAAACTGGTTAACCGAATACCGGTTAACCTAGTTTTTCGGTTTACGTTTAGGTCCAAGAAATGAACGGACCGATAGTCTCAGTTAACCTTCCGAAATATGTTTTCGGTTCGGTTAACCATCCATGAACACCCTTATTTTTCTTAGTAGTTGTTTATAAATTTAATTCACAACTAAACATTTTTTAGTTTCTTTTTTAGAGTTGGCTAATATTCACGGTACATATTTTTTAAAATTTCTTTCCTCTTGAAAACCAAGTTAAAAAACCGATTCAATCGAATTGTAATTTGGTTGGATTAGATCAGATTTGAATTTAATTTGGATTATTTGAATCCATGTTTTGAGAACCGAAATCATTTTGCATTTACTTGATTGGACTGGATCAAACAAATTCATTCAAACGAACACTAATAACATTGATTCTACAGGCATATCAATTATATTAATAATTTTCTTTTTCTAAAAGTAAATATATTTGGATCACCAAAACGCTATAAGACAATTAAATTGTTTTTTTACTATTTCCAAGAACATAAATATCATATTCAAGAATAATAAAAACCAAAATAATAATGTGATATGATGTTCTAAAAATGTCTATGATATTAATGTTGAAGAATGATGCAGACGGTTTATGAATCAAATAAGCAACGGAAGCAAAAACATCAATTTTTAATTTCTTAATCCACAAAACCAAGAATCCAATTCGAACAAGCTTAGATCAACAATATTACAAACAAATCTCTAAGGAAAAGCAATTGAGACTGACCATTGCCTACTTTTGGGTTGTCGTCTTCAAAAATATCACAAAGCAAAGCTCTCCCCGGTTAATGAGATAAAATATGCTTCTTTTAGATTGATTAATTGTAGAGAGAAATTAGATAGTAATTTTACTCTACTTAATTAAGGTAATAATCTCATTATGGAGCGTTCTTGATTTGTACTCCTAGTTTATCGCTAGATATTATAATATAAAAATGGTTTTCTTTCCTAAAAAGAAGAAAGAAAAGGATCCAATCGTTTGAGAATTGAGATAAGTAAAAAACTATTGAAAACTCTTTTAGGGGTTTCCAATGCATCATTGATGTTATTTAGTTTCAGCTCCCTTTATATTGGACTTATATCACATTTCAAGAAATCTTTTATCAACTGTTTGTTATGCTTCTTTATGTAAACTCTGGACCCATTTTGTTGTTTGCTTGCTAAAGCTTTCATAAAGTTGGAAGCTTTCTCATTGGTTGTTGACCATTTGTGGTGCCATTTGTGGCTCATTTCATTTCATGTCTCATTTCAACTTCATAGAGGTAATCATGTAAGGAACTTATATGTTATTATCTTTTTAACTAATTTATACATAATCAATCAAATAATATATTTTTTTAACGGCAAATT